GGGCCCCGCAGCATTCATACAGGGGACCCCCCCCTCCTAAGCAGCCTCCACACCCACCCACCCCCTCCTGTAAACCCCACATCCCCCACCCACTATGTGATAAGGAAACCAAAGGCAAATATTAAAACATATAGATATTTAGGATTTATTTTATTATGATGCTAGAGGCACTTGTAGGCTTCCAAATTTCTTCAACATTGTAAAGATGTTGAAGAAAAAAAAATAAAACATTGCCCATCTGATCAATCCCCTTTTCTCTCTCTCTCTTGTTCTAGTTGTGGAAGAATGTGGATATTGGGGTATTTTAAAAACTGAATGTGGGATCCTGCTTCAGCAGAAGCTCGTGAGGGCAAGTAGCCCTGAGCTGTTCACCAGGATGGGGTTCTTATACTGCTAGGGCCAGCACAGGTGCTGGCCCCTGCCTCTAGCGCCCCTTAGGTGCAGATCTGGGAGGAGCCAGGCAGAGTTATTTTGCCCCAAGTGGCACAATTTGCTCCACAAAAAAGTGCATGTCCAAGCATGTGTGCCGAGGCAAAAAGCCCTGGCTCAAATTTGCACCGATTCTATTTGAGCTGCTACAAGCTCACATGCTTGCATGTGTGGACATGCCCAATGTAGGGGGAGGGGCACATTTTATTCATGATTTCAAAGATTTATGGTCACTGAAAAGCTATTCCCATAATTTGAATTATGGGAATAATACTTTGATGTTTCCAAGGAAATATTGTTGCAATTCTAGGAGTTTAGGTTAAACTGGACTCCCTTTTCCATACTAAATCCTTTTTATACCAGTTTCTGGTAAACAAGTATATAACCCATTAGTCTGCCTCTACCTTCCCATAATTCATCTTTCAGTGACTTGGATAGAGTATATGACTTGATCCATGCATATTTTGTTTCTTTGGTGTGCTAATGCTGAGTTTTCTTATTAGTATCTCTAAGAAATCTGTTTAACTAAATTGATATGCCCACCACAAAAGAAAAACATAATGGGAGAATGCTTAAAATATTACGACAAGCAAGGTTCTTTGAGTAGATGTGATATCTTTTATTAGACCAACTGAGTAGTTGGGAAAAAAGTTCTTAACAAGCTTTTGGGCACAATCACCCATTATAGTATATTTTAAAAAGAAGTAGGATTTATTCATAATATTTGTCTATTGAACCAACCCCATAGTTGGCGGAGATATTGGACAAGGTTTGGGGCACAGGATGTTCTTCCTTAAATCTGGAAAAGAAGCAGATACATCCTAAGCTAAATACTAGGTGGGCAAATTACTCTAGTTTTATCCATGTTACACAGATATGCGATCTTTAATGGAAGTGGGCAGAAGAGCTGTAGAGCAAAGAAGTTAATAGAAGTAGTTACAGACTAAATGAACAGTTGAATTAAATAATTTTCATTACATAAAATAACCACCCTAAAGGGAAGAAGAACACTATTACGTGTTGGACACAGGTTAGCAGATAGGGCAAGTACATTTTGTAATGATTTAAATCCTTGTATAGTTTAAATCTTTCTTTTTTTTTAAATATCCAGTAAAGTTATAAATGTTTGTTTCCATGCCCCATCTTCACAGTACCTCTCCCCTGCAAGATATAGAGGATATAGATAGAAATAGATATAGAGGATTTTAAATTATGATGTGTGTTAGTTTTGAATATATTGCTATATGAAGTGGCAAATGGCTTCCATATGTTCAGGCTACAATGGCTGATGTAGAAACAGCTGATGGTTTTGTGTGTTCCTCAAAATCTCCATAGCTATCTTAAAGAAATGCTAGCTGTCAACTTGAGAAATATTTTCAAGGAGCAATAGTTTAGGAATTTAAATCCCTTATATAAAAGAGGAAAATTCAGTTTAAAGATGTATCTCTCTTTGCCATTCAGTGGTATATGATTTGAAAGAGAATA